TTTAAACTTAATAATCATTTCCATTCTCTCTTCCAACCAGACTAATCACATATGATGTGACTGTTTTAAAAGTGATTTTTTTTTTTTTTAATTTTCGAGACAGGGTTTCTCTGTAGTTTTTGGTTCCTGTCCTGGCACTAGCTCTTGTAGCCCAGGCTGGCCTCGAACTCACAGAGATCCACCTGCCTCTGCCTCTCGAGTGCTGGGATTAAAGGCGTGCGCCACCACCACCACCACCACCACCACCACCGCCAGCAAGTAATTTCTTTTTTGATCACTTTTACTGAGATGGGTTCTCACCAGAGCTGGCATGGAACTCACTATGCAGACTGAATTTGAGGCACTTGCTCCTCCTGCCTCAGGCTCCAGACCACTGAGATCACAGAGCTGTGTTACCACGTCCTGCTTTGTGAAAGCTACTTTTCTTCTTGTTTGCTTGTCTGTTGGAACAGAATCTTACATAGCCCAGCCTGGCTTCACCTCCAACTCTGTATGTAAGATAAGCCTTTAACTACTGATCCTCCTGCCTCCACTTCTCAAGCATGGGAATTACAGTCTTGTGGCTCCATGCCCCCCATATGTGTACACACACACACACACACACACACACACAAACACATATACTGCTGCAGACAAAAGACTCAGACATTCTATGGGCTGGAGTCCTGGGCTGAATAAAAAGGAGAAAGTGAGGGGCCTGGAGAGATGGCTCGAGGGTTCAAAGCATTTGCAGTTCTAGCCAGAAGGCCCAAGTTCAGTTCTCAGCACCCAGGTACAGTTGCTCTCAACGCCAGTAGCTCCAGCTTCTGGAAATCCAAGTCCTCTTCAGAACTCCAAGGGCACCTGAACATGCCTTTAGCTCACACACAATTTCAGCACCGGGAGGGCAGCAGCAGGAAGCTCTTTGTCTGAGGCCAGCTAGGTCTACATAAGAAGTTCCAGGACCTGCTGGGTGGTGGTGGCGGCACACACCTTAATCCCAGCACTCGGGAGGCAGAGGCAGGTGGATCTCTGTGAGTTTGAGACCAGCCTGGTCTACAGAGCTAGTCCCAGGACAGGCTCCAAAGCCACAGAGAAACCCTGTCTCGAAAAACCAAAAAACAAAACAAAACAAAA